AGGTAAACTAATCCTTTTTTTTTCCTCTTTAGAAAAGAACGAGATCCTATCTGATGATCCTGCCCCTCTGGACTGTAAAAAGCTTCAATTATCATGAGCTTCTGGGAGAAGAATCATTTGGGAAGGTAAGTTTTAAAGTTTCTCTGATTTTATTCACATAAACAGACAGGAGAACGAACTCACTTCAAGGCTGGATTCACACTGATGTGGTGCTTTAGGACCTGTTATGGTTGTGCCATAATATGCATCATGTTAAGAAAGTCCATTCATTTAAATGGACTTCCTAACGCTTCGAGATTCAACACAAAATGTGCATTAGCAGGATATTTTAGGGTGCCATTAAGGTCGAAATCCAGCCTAAACCTACCTCCCCCTCCTAACTCCCTATGCTAGCTAACCTGCGTAAGAAAGATGTATATATTTATCAATTTTCACTCCGCTGCGGTCCGGTCATGTGATCACCTGTGTCAGCTAACGGAGGCTGCAGGGAAGAGGAGAGAGTGCTCCAACAATGGCTGGTAAACTCGGGAACAAGGGTGTCACTCATAGGCTTCCATGTCCCAGCCGTTCTTGATACTCCTCCTTCTCCCCCTGCAGCCACCGCTGGCTGACACAGGGGAGCCAGCTCACATGACCGGACTGGAACGGGCTGTAAATAGGCAAGTATACATCGTATAAAGAATTACATTTAATTATATAGAGAGATTTTCCCTCACTTTCTGTTTTATTTATGGATTTTAATATCTGTGTGTGTCATGGTGCCCTTAACCACTTCGCCATCGCCCTATAGCAGAAATACTGCTACAGGGCCATGCAAAATCATATTTTTTATATATATATATATATATATATATATATATATATACACACATATATACATACATATACACACACACACACATACATATACACACACACACATACACACACACACATATATATATATATACACACATACACATGATTTTGTATTTCCGCGCCGCCATTGGCAGCTACAGCCATCGATCCCCAGGTCCTGGCTGGAGATCCCCCACCGACACCCGCCTAGTATCACTGATTGGGGGGGGGAGGTCTGTACATAAACAACACAGATCTCTCCCCTGTCAGCACCAGCAAGCTGCTTTGTATTGCTCTGCATAGCAGACCAATACAAAACAGCATGCCTCCCTAGTAAAACACACAGCACACTTTCATCGGCCCAGATGTTAACCCCTTCCTGCCCAGTGTCATTAGTACAGTGTCAATGCTTTTTATTAGCACTGATCACTGTATTACTGTCACTGGGGATGTCAGTGGCAGTTAGTCAGTTACCCCCCAGAGTCAGAATGCCCACCACAGTCCTGTAGCCCTGCTATAAGTCGCTGATCGCCACCATTACTGGTAGAAAATAATAAAAAAAAATTCCAATATATATATATATATATATATACATACACACATATACATACATACATATACCGCCATTTGTAGACGCTATAACTTTCACGTAAACCAATTAATTTACACGTATTAGGTTTTTTTTTTTTTTTCAGCAAAGACATGGAGCAGAATACATTTTGGCCTAAATTTATGATGAAATTAGATTTTTTTTTAATGGACATGTTTAATAGCAAAAAGTCAAAAATAGTTTTTTTTTCTTCAAAATGATCAGTCTTTTTTTGTTTATAGTTCAAAAAACACAGAGGCGATCAAATGCCACCGAAAGAAAGCTCCATTTGGGAGACAAAGGACATAAATTTAATTTGGGTGCAGCATTGCATGACCACGCAATTAAAGTAACAGCGCCGTAACACAAAAAATGGCCTGGCCAGGAAGGGGGGGTAAATCCTCTGGAGGGCAAGTGGTTAATAGCAAAAAGTCAAAAATTGTTTTTTTTTTTTCTCAAAATTGTTGGCCTTTTTTTTGTTTATAGTACAAAAAATAAAAAACGCAGAGGTGATCCAATAACACCAAAAGAAAGCTCCATGTGTGGGGAAAAAAAAAACCCCAAAAAAAACCCCCATAAATTTAATTTGGGTGTAGCGTTGCATAACCACACAATTGTCAGTTAAAGTAACGCAGCGCCGTATCGAGAAAAATAGTCTGGTCAGGAAGGGGGGGTAAATCATCTGGAGGGCAAGGGGTTAGGTATCTTGGTTTGATGCCATTCCACGAACATTTGCAATTTTAAAGCGTGACATGTTGGGTATCTATTTACTCCCCGTAACATCTTTCTTATTTTACAAAAAAAAAAAAAAAGGGTATTATTGTGTGGTTTATTTTTAAATCAAAGTGTATTTTTTTCCCAAACAAATTGTGTTTGAAAAATATATTAACTTTTTTTTTTTTTTTAAATTGGTTTTTGGCTAAGTGCGTTCAGAATTTCTGGTACCAAAATGTTCATTTCGGTGCACCACTATCATTGAAAGTGAAAGAAACCCTAAATTTTGGGTTGACCCCAGAAAAGTAATAAAGGGGAAGATTTCAAATGGGAACACGAGTTCTTGCGACCTGGGGGGGGGGGGGGATTTCCTCTCACTTCCTGTTTTGGCTATGGGACAGGAAGTGAAGAGAAATCTCCCCAACGGGACAGAAATGGTGAAAACGAAAAAGTGAAAAGGAAGTATAACCCTCCCTTACTCTATCCACATGGGGAAAAAAACAGGTTTTGCCTATAGTTCTACTTTGAATTTCCTGCCACATCCTTTTTTTTTTATATTTCCTCCACTTCCTGTCTCATAACCAAAACAGGAAGTGAGAGGAAATCCCTCCAAAGTGAGGGAATGCCTGGTTGTCACCAGAACTAGGGTCACCCTTGGGAGATTTCCCCTCTATTCCTGTTCTGGTGACAACACATTTTGGACTTTCTGACAATTTCACTTGTGATAACCTGGCAGGGGGTCTAATCCATCACCACTTTGTGCAAACCTAGAGGCTCTCCAGCATCATCTAATGACAGGTTGACTTTAGTTGGGTGCGCACAGATTTACAGCCCCTGGGACTCAAGACTCTAGAGCAGTCCGGCGGGAAACATGTCCCCAGTAATTGTAGTTCCACATTCGGTATGGAGGTCTCTGGGCTACAATCACCCTGATCTTCCAGTCATCATCTCCCCTCCCCCACACCCCCTGGGTATAGCGGGGTCCCAGGCACAGCCCCCCACCCTTCATATCCCCCCCTTACACACAGGATGGCACCAGATCCCGCCACCCCCCATTCAAATCACACACCTTCTCTTCCAGACATCTTTGACGCGACTACTGGACGAGGACCCCCTCTCTGCACCGGAAATAGGCGTCGACCACACTGCCAGAGACGTCTCGGACTTCCGTCTTCACGCTTCTAAACGCGAAACGGTATATAAAGCAGTTCGCTATTTTGGCAATAAATGTGTTGTATTATAATTGATTGTAGCAATACGCTTTGATTGGAGTATCTGAAGAAGAAATAAATCACCGTCGGCCATATTGGTACACTGATACATTGAATTAGCTGAAGCTGCCGGATGCAGTAGTACCGCCATGTTGGTACACCAAATGCACTGAGCTAGCCGAAGCCACTGGATGCAGAAACGCGGCCATATTGGTACTCCATACATGGCTTTAGTTGAAGCCGACGGATGCAGAAGAATGGCTATATTGATACTTTATTACGTGAAGCCAGGGATGTTGGAGCGCGGCCATGTTGGCACTCAAATACAATGCGTTAGATGAACCCAGTGAGGGAGGAGTGCCGCCACATTGGTACTCCAATACATTGCTTTAGGTGAAGCCGCCGGAAGCAAGAGCGTGGCCATATTGGTACTTCAATACATTGATTCAGCTGAAGTCGCCGGAATTGGGCTGCGGCCATATTGGTCCTTCAATACATTCAGTCAGCTAAAGCTGCCGAAAGCAGGACTGCGGTCATATTGGTCCTCCTATACATTGAGTAAGCTGAAACCGCTGGATGTTGCAGCGCGGCCATATTGGTACTCCCATTGGGGCTCTGCACACTTGTGCTTACTCAGCTTGCTATGTTTCTCTAAAGGAAATTAGGCAAACCCTGTTAAGCACATATGCTGAATGTAGCAGTGCTACCTTTGTTCTTTTTTTTTTCTTATTGGTGGCAAATGGGTACAGGAAGTGCATACGCCGCCATCTTGGTGCACCCAATAGTTGTAGGAAGTCAGTAGAGTGCAGTGTAACCTCTCTGTCATTCGGATGAAGCGGACTGTGGACCATTGCAGGGCTGACAGGACAGAAGAATGACCCAGGGCCAGTCTCTGGTGAAGTCAGGTAATGAAGCAATGTGTGATGTCATGTACAGGAAACAATGACAACTTGTTATGCTGCTATAAACTCTGGGCGGTCATGACTATTTTCCCAGCATGCCTTATTATGTTTTACTATAGTGATTATTTGTATGTGCTGTGACATTTTTATAATGTCATCATCTTGCACTCTTTATGAGTTCTCTGTGATGAGAGACATGTTGGTGTATCAGCACCCATACCCCAAGATGATGTGTAAAATGTGTATATGGATGTTTATTATAGGTACTTATACAGCGTGAATGTATATTGTACATTCACATCAGTCCCTAACCCTCAAGGGGCATACAATCTAAGGTCCCTAACTCACATTCATACATACACATACTAGGGACAATTTATACAGGAGCCAATTCACCTACCAGCATGTCTTTGGATTGTGGGAGGAAACCAGAGTACCCATAGGAAACCCACGCAGGCACAGGGAGAACATGCAAACTGCAGGCAGGTGGTGCCGTGCCTGGGGTTCAAATCAACGACCTGAGTACTGCCAGGCGGAAGCGCTAACCATTTAGCCATTGTGCTGTCCATATTATATAGCGAAGGGCTCTTTTTTCATCAGCAGCAGTACTTGAATCCCCCTCCTATTATTTATTATTACATTTTTTTTCTTTTAAGATAATTTATAATAACTTGTGTCTGTTTTACTTGCAGATGTTGCATAATTCTATAGCATCTCAGGATGAAACACATCTGTGTCATTCGCTCTATGAGATCCTCTCGGCAGTCCCCTCTTCTAAGGAGTCGAGTCACCCATCTCTGTATTAGGACTCTTTGTGCGCCGGCCTCTAAACTGCCTGACACCAAACCCCTTGCGGAGGAACCGGGTGTGAGCCCCTTGCAGCAATGGAAGGATGTGGGGAAGAGAGTGGGCACAAACACCATGCAAGCCGTGTCCACCACAGCCAAGAACTGGTGGGACCGATATGAAGAGTTTGTGGGCCTTGTAGAAGTTCGAGAAGCTCAGGGAAAAGTAGCCGAGGTGAAATCATTTATTGGATTTTGCAATGGACTCAATCTTAAAGGGAATCTGGAATTTCCTTTTCCCCCGGTTCACATCTATGCGGGCTTCGTTTTGCACAGACACGAGAGCCCATTCATTTGAATGGACTCCCTTGCCCGTGACACGCAGGGAAGAAGTCCCTGCACTTCTTCTGAAAATGCAGCCCGCACGGGAACCTCGGTTCCCAGTACGGTTGCGTTTTCCAGTGCGGGCGGCGTGCCATTAGAACTAATGGCACCCGCGGGTCCGCATTTCTCTGTGCGGGTGGTGTGGCTGCACAGATTTTCGTACGGATCTGCAGCGGCACCACCTGCACAGATGTGAACCTAGGGTTAAAAGGAGTGTCAGGTCACTGTCCTGAGTATGTAGATCCTCCAGAGACTGTCGCTTTGCACATTCAAGGCAGGGCGACAGAGGGGGAGATCTACAAAAGCTGGAGCACTCGGATCTGTGCATGGTAGCCAATCACCTTCTAACTGCAGCTTGTTCGCTTTGACAATAAAGCCAATTGGTTTCTATGCGGAGATGCACTAGATTTTGCATGCTCTTGTAAGTCCTCATGCACACTGGACGTTGTTACAGCGACTGTTTTTGGCTTTTGAGGTTTTTTTCTACAGCCAGTAAACTCCCCAGCATGTTATCCCATGTGTCCATTATTATTATTATTATACAGCATTTATAAAGCGCTAACAGTTTGCTCAGCACTTTACATTACAATGGGAGACAATACACGAGACAGTACAGTAACAATACAATGCGATACACGAGGGGTTCGAGGGCCCTGCTCCTTGGAGCTTACAATCTAGGAGGGGGGGGATAGTGCTACAGGAGGAGATAGCTGTGGGGGATGGAGTGGTAGGAAGAGTGGAGGAGGTCGGCAATTAGCAGGGGGTGGGGTAGGCTTCCCTGAAGAGATGGGTTTTCAGGTTGCGCCTAAAGGAGAGGAGGGTAGGTGATAGTCTGATGGATTGGGGTAGGGAGTTCCAGAGGATGGGGGAAGCCCTGGAGAAGTCCTGGAGATGGGCATGGGAGGAGGAGACCAGGGAACTAGAGAGTAGGAGGTCTTGCAAGGAGCGGAGAGTACGTTTTGGGTGGTAGATGGATATGAGGTTGGTGATGTAATTTGGGGCAGTGTTATGAACAGCTTTGTACGTCAGTGTTAGCATTTTGAATTTTATCCGTTGGGCAATAGGAAGCCTGTGGAGGGATTGGCAGGGGGGGGGGGGGGGGGCGGATACGGAGTGGTTAGTAAGGTGGATGAGTCTGGCCGCAGTATTCAGGTCCATGCATACATAGACTGTAATCAACGTTTTTTGGCTGGAAAAAAACCTGGGACCAGGGGTGGACTGACCATTTGGAAACTCGGGCACTGCCTGAGGGCCTGGGGTCAGTAGGGGACCCCATGAGATGCCCCTGGTACCTTTTTCATAGGCTTTTTTTAGTTTCGGCAAGGACATAGGGGCCCCATGATCCCCTATTGCCCGGGGCCCCAAGAGTTGTCAGTCCGCCCCTGCCCTGGACTAGTTTTTTAGCTGTAAAAATACTCTAACGCTGGAAAACGTGGTAAAACACCGCAAATTGGCATTTTCGGAGGGTTTTGGGACCAAAAAAAATATTTTTTTTTTGGTAAAAAAAAAACTAAATGCTAATGCAAAAACGCTAAAAAAAGCTGAAAACTAAAATTTTTAATGTGACTTTACACAGCCAACGTTGCCAGCGCTATCAAAATGCCCCGTGTGCATGAGGGCTCAACCTCCTCCAGAGTCTCTTGGAAAAATAGCCACCACCACCCACTTATACTCACCCCCCCCCCATGCTGTTCCATTCCTGTGTCAGAGTTGGCTGCCCATACACTGATGGAAACTGAGCAAGTTCAGCAGGGACTGGTTGAATTTAGATCAGTGTGTGGCAGTTCCCTCTTGACGGAAGTCGACTGACTCCTGTCAAACAAACACCTTGTAAAATGGCTGCAGCCACGGCCCCTTGGGGTAATTCCACCATCCTACTCATGTCAGCCCACTGGCTGAAAGAGGAAAAAATACTAACAATGTATAGACAGCTGAGATTCCCTGAAAGTCAACAGCTCAGTTCCCCTTGTTTCCTCCTCCCAGCAGGTGATGTAGTAGCTCCTTCTGCCCCTTTTTCCAGCAGTAAGACAGAAACTCAGTTTACTCTGCTTCCCCCTTCCAGCAGTGACTTAGTAGCTCATCTCATAATAATTTCCCTCCTAGCAGTGATTCAGAAATTGCTCCTCCTAGATCCCCTCCTCTCAGCAGTAATACAGTAGCTCAGCTCCTCCTGCTCCCCCTATCCCAGCAGTAGTACAGCAGCTTAGTTTACTCTATTGTCCCCCCCCAGCAGTGAATCAGCAGCTTCTGCTCCCCTCTCCCAGCAGTGAATTAGCAGCTTCTGCTCCCCTCTCCCAGCAGTGAATCGGCAGCTTCTGCTTTCCTCTCCCAGCAGTGAATCAGCAGCTTCTGCTTCCCTCTCCTCCCAGCAGGGAATCAGCAGCTTCTGCTTCCCTCTCCTCCCAGCAGGGAATCAGCAGCTTCTGCTTCCCTCTCCTCCCAGCAGGGAATCAGCAGCTTCTGCTTCCCTCTCCTCCCAGCAGGGAATCAGCAGCTTCTGCTTCCCTCTCCTCCCAGCAGGGAATCAGCAGCTTCTGCTTCCCCCTCTCCTCCCAGCAGGGAATCAGCAGCTTCTGCTTCCCCTCTCCCAGCAGGGAATCAGCAGCTTCTGCTCCCCTCCTCCTCCCAGCAGGGAATCAATCAGCAGCTTCTGCTTCCCTCTCCTCCCAGCAGGGAATCAGCAGCTTCTGCTCCCCTCTCCTCCCAGCAGTGAATCAGCAGCTTCTGCTTTCCCCTCCTCCCAGCAGGGGAATCAGCAGCTTCTGCTCCCCTCTCCTCCCAGCAGGGAATCAGCAGCTTCTGCTCCCCTCTCCTCCCAGCAGGGAATCAGCAGCTTCTGCTCCCCTCTCCTCCCAGCAGGGAATCAGCAGCTTCTGCTCCCCTCTCCTCCCAGCAGGGAATCAGCAGCTTCTGCTCCCCTCTCCTCCCAGCAGGGAATCAGCAGCTTCTGCTCCCCTCTCCTCCCAGCAGGGAATCAGCAGCTTCTGCTCCCCTCTCCTCCCAGCAGGGAATCAGCAGCTTCTGCTCCCCTCTCCTCCCAGCAGGGAATCAGCAGCTTCTGCTCCCCTCTCCTCCCAGCAGGGAATCAGCAGCTTCTGCTCCCCTCTCCTCCCCCAGCAGGGAATCAGCAGCTTCTGCTCCCCTCTCCTCCCAGCAGGGAATCAGCCCTGCTCTCTCCCCAGCAGGGAATCAGCAGCTTCTGCTCCCCTCTCCTCCCAGCAGGGAATCAGCAGCTTCTGCTTCCCCTCTCCTCCCAGCAGGGAATCAGCAGCTTCTGCTCCCCTCTCCTCCCAGCAGGGAATCAGCAGCTTCTGCTCCCCTCTCCTCCCAGCAGGGAATCAGCAGCTTCTGCTCCCCTCTCCTCCCAGCAGGGAATCAGCAGCTTCTGCTCCCCTCTCCTCCCAGCAGGGAATCAGCAGCTTCTGCTCCCCTCTCCTCCCAGCAGGGAATCAGCAGCTTCTGCTCCCCTCTCCCAGCAGGGAATCAGCAGCTTCTGCTCCCCTCTCCCAGCAGTGAATCAGCAGCTTCTGCTCCCCTCTCCTCCCAGCAGGGAATCAGCAGCTTCTGCTCCCCTCTCCTCCCAGCAGGGAATCAGCAGCTTCTGCTCCCCTCTCCTCCCAGCAGGAATCAGCAGCTTCTGCTCCCCTCCCTCCCAGCAGTGAATCAGCAGCTTCTGCTCCCCTCTCCTCCCAGCAGTGAATCAGCAGCTTCTGCTCCCCTCTCCCAGCAGTGAATCAGCAGCTTCTGCTCCCTCTCCCAGCAGTGAATCAGCAGCTTCTGCTCCCCTCTCCCAGCAGTGAATCAGCAGCTTCTGCTTTCCTCTCCCAGCAGTGAATCAGCAGCTTCTGCTTTCCTCTCCCAGCAGTGAATCAGCAGCTTCTGCTCCCCTCTCCCAGCAGTGAATCAGCAGCTTCTGCTCCCCTCTCCCAGCAGTGAATCAGCAGCTTCAGCTTCTGCTTCTTCCCCTCTCCCAGCAGTGAATCAGCAGCTTCTGCTCCCCTCTCCCAGCAGTGAATCAGCAGCTTCTGCTTTCCTCTCCCAGCAGTGAATCAGCAGCTTCTGCTTTTCCTCTCCCAGCAGTGAATCAGCAGCTTCTGCTTTCCTCTCCCAGCAGTGAATCAGCAGCTTCTGCTTTCCTCTCCCAGCAGTGAATCAGCAGCTCTCCCAGCTGCTTCTCCTCTCCCAGCAGTGAATCAGCAGCTTCTGCTTTCCTCTCCCAGCAGTGAATCAGCAGCTTCTGCTTTCCTCTCCCAGCAGTGAATCAGCAGCTTCTGCTTTCCTCTCCCAGCAGTGAATCAGCAGCTTCTGCTTTCCTCTCCCAGCAGTGAATCAGCAGCTTCTGCTTTCCTCTCCCAGCAGTGAATCAGCAGCTTCTGCTTTCCTCTCCCAGCAGTGAATCAGCAGCTTCTGCTTTCCTCTCCTCCCAGCAGGAATCAGCAGCTTCTGCTCCCCTCTCCTCCCAGCAGGGAATCAGCAGCTTCTGCTTCCCCTCTCCTCCCAGCAGGGAATCAGCAGCTTCTGCTCCCCTCTCCTCCCAGCAGGGAATCAGCAGCTTCTGCTCCCCTCTCCTCCCAGCAGGGAATCAGCAGCTTCTGCTCCCCTCTCCTCCCAGCAGGGAATCGGCAGCTTCTGCTCCCCTCTCCTCCCAGCAGGGAATCGGCAGCTTCTGCTCCCCTCTCCTCCCAGCAGGGAATCGGCAGCTTCTGCTCCCCTCTCCTCCCAGCAGGGAATCGGCAGCTTCTGCTCCCCTCTCCTCCCAGCAGGGAATCGGCAGCTTCTGCTTTCCTCTCTCCCAGCAGTGAATCAGCAGCTTCTGCTTTCCTCTCCCAGCAGTGAATCAGCAGCTTCTGCTCCCTCTCCTCCCAGCAGGGAATCAGCAGCTTCTGCTCAGCCTTCTCTCCCCCTCCCAGCAGGGAATCAGCAGCTTCTGCTCCCCCTCCCAGCAGGGAATCAGCAGCTTCTCTTTCCTCCCCAGCAGTGAATCAGCAGCTTCTGCTTTCCTCTCCCAACAGGGAATCAGCAGCTTCTGCTCTCCTCTCCCAGCAGTGAATCAGCAGCTTTTGCTCCCCCTCTCCCAGCAGTGAATCTTCTGCAGCTCAGCAGCTTCTGCTTTCCTCTCTCCCAGCAGTGAATCAGCAGCTTCTGCTTTCCTCTCCCAGCAGGGAATCGGCAGCTTCTGCTTTCCCCTCTCTCCCAGCAGTGAATCGCAGCTTCTGCTTTCCTCTCCCAGCAGTGAATCAGCTCTCCTCCCAGCAGTGAATCAGCAGCTTCTGCTTTCCTCTCCCAACAGTGAATCAGCAGCTTCTGCTTTCCTCTCCCAACAGTGAATCAGCAGCTTCTGCTCCCCTCTCCCAGCAGTGACTTCCTTATTCAGCTTAGCCTGCTTTCCACTCCCAGCATTGACTCAGCAGCTTGTTTCCTCTTCTTGTCTCCTGCCGCTGCCCCTGCCCCTCTCCATCAGTGCGGGGGTCACATTAGCTCAGTGATGGAGAAAACTGAGGGGGAAGAGAAACATTGGGATACTAGTCAGTACCAGTGTGCAATAGTGTGTTTGCTCTGGAAGAATAAATCACCTCTAATGTTCTGTGTCCTACATGTGTGGATGTTGCTGCGTTATATACAACTATTAGAATAGTTTTTTTTTTCACGTTTTAGAATGGGGTGCTCTTTTAAAATTATGGACAGTCTTGAGGCACCCCATTCTAAAATGGGGTGCCTCTGGACTGTCCATAATCTTAAAGGGTGCCTTGACTGAAAAAAGGTTGAGGAACACTGAGCTAGAGTATCACTAGATGTGGTGACTGCAGTAGATTTTTTTGTTTTCTTTTTTTTTAGGCTTTTCCCTCTCTATCTTCACCTGATGATCTGGCCAGTAACACATTTCCTGCCTTATAATACCTACACTGTGGACGAAGGAGCAACAGAGACACCTTTGAACAGCAGCATTGTTTGTCTAGGGGAGAGGAGTATTAGATGTACTAGCAGTTTTAGATACACTAACAAATTGAAGCCAAACTCCAGCTTACAGTTATAGCAACGTTTTTTTTTTTACGTTTTTACATAAATAAAAGCTGATCTTTTGTAAGCACCTCTGCCGATGTTATATGTTTTGTCTCAACCCTCAACCTGCTACATCTGCAGGACAGCTTGTTCTCTTGAAAAACAACAGAAGTACTGGCCAGATCACAGGGTGAAAATACAGGAAAGAAAGCCTAAAAAATCAGAAAACTAAAGCAGCCATCACATCTAAGAAATGGTAAGCTGCAATATAATAAATGTCTGCTTTTGGGTTTAATATCGCTTTACGCTGGCCATACACTTGTAGATTTTTGAACAAACATTTGCACAAAAATTCATACTGGCATTCAGTGAGTTGCCGAATGTCATTCAAAAGTGTTGTTTGCTTGTGACATTGGATTGAGTGGACTTTCCTAAGTGAAAACTATGTTCACGGGCAGAAATGCATTCGTTCAAGAAAAAAAAATTCCACGTTTCTCCTTTTTTTTGTCATCATTTCGGTCAATGTCTAATTCACCCTACAAATTATTAGAAAATGCACCAAATGTTTTTAAAACAAAAATGTTTGAAGGAAATCCTACTAATGTGTGGTCAGCTTTAGTGTGAGCTACTGGACCTAAATGTAAAAAAAAATCACTACAAAGGTACAATAGAATCTGTGATTTATTGAACATAAAAAAAAGCTAAGAAAAAGTTTTTCCTGTATCACGTATTACAAGGCTATATTGTCATGAAGAATAATATCCTATAAATGAACATTTCATCCTCAGGCAGAAAAAGACTTCATGGTGGCCCGTGGGATAGTGCGAGAGGCCCGTGAGAGCGCTGAGACTCAGCAGGTAAAGCTGAAAGAAGTTAGGGATCGATTGGACCGCGTGTCTCGGGACGATGTACAGTACTTGGAGCTGGCCACTCTGGAGCATAAACTACTGCAGGTACAGCATACCACAACACAAACAAACATACATTTTCAAGCACACTTACCAGCCGGAATGCAAAAAAAACCCAAATTGACCCAGTCTAACAATTCACATCAAAAACAGGGTTTTTGCACACATTTGCAATTATATGTGTAAGCTGCAGTGCCTACGTCAAGGCTTCTCTCTATACTACGGTCCTATCTATAGTTTTGAAAGTCTCCAAGTTGGAGCACCCTTCCTTAACCCCTTCACGCTGGCGCCTCCCAGCCCTTTAACCTCCTCGGCGGTATGATTCTTTCCGATTTTTTTTGTGCTGAAAGCGGTACCATTATTTTGCATGGAAATATGTAGTTTTTTATTGTAGGCTGTAATTTTTAGGAATAACTCACTGAAATCTGTCCGAACAAGAGTCTAGTAAACATCCCGGGTAGGATAAAATTTGAAACATGAAATCATAAATTATAATTTAATAAATAATCATAAAAAATAATATAATAATAATAAATTTAATTCAATAATATAATCAAACCAAAAACACTGAGATTTGAAATACAGAGGCAAATTCGCACAACGCTGAGCAAAGTCGCAAAATCGTTTTCAGTGTTTTCCCCACGAATCATTAGCACTCAATTCTGCAAGTAGTTCTGATTTACTATCGCTGTTCTAAAACCGCTTTTGACGTAAAGGGACGCTTTTTGGACGCCATGGACTATTCTAAGTTTCCAGGCAGAAAGAACATTCAAAATGCAGGCAGGGCACAGGACAAAGCAGTAGGGACAAAATATATGTGAAATGCATTGAAACAGCAATGACAGCAAAAATGACATTTTTAAAAAATTTCAAATTTCCCACCGGTTCCGGCGCCCGTACGTCCCGACGTCACAGGGACCGGAACACGGAAGCCGGATGCCGGCATCGGCCGGAGGAGATGGCCGGGGACACTGCAGGGGACACATCGCGGGAGCGAAGGACAAGGTAAGTGCTGCAGGGACCTCCTGAGCAACGCCGCTAGGTAAGCCTGAGTGTAGCTCGGGGTTACCGCTCTTGGTATAGAAATTTTACCCCGAGCTACACTCGGGATTACCGCTAAGGAGGTTAAGGGTTCCAGAAGCCGGGAGGCGGGGTGGATTTTAGGGTCATGTGACTGCCGTGACGCATGATCGGGAAAGGTCCCGATCGAAAGAGGAGATCAGGACCTTTTCGTGAGTACCGGACATGTGTGCTGGAAGCGCGCAGGGTGTGCACTCTCGGCACATGTCCTTTTTTAATAGAACGCAAATGTGCGGCCGCTCGGCGTCTAGGCCCAGACACCGGGAGGCCGCACATTTGTGTGCAGCCGGCGTGAAGAGGTTAAAGGCACAGGGACGCACTGGACACCCAGCAAGTGCATCCCTGTGCCTTTAAGTAGGAGTGGACTGTCTCCAGGCAAAGCTGCCCATAATCTACCCACTGCTATATGTGCTGCAACGTGGACACTCTCAAATCTGTAAAGTAAGGACCACAGTATACAGAGGAGTCTTAACGTGGGCACTGCGGCGTATGCAATTTGTTGTGGAAAAAATACACTTTGATCACTTTAATGAATTTTAATGCACAAAAACACAATATAATACCCAGTTCTTTGGTAAAATATAATAGGTGATGTTATGCCAAGAAAAAAGATGCCAAACATGTCACGCTTTAAAATGACATACGCCCATAGAACACTACAGTACCTAACAATCTCCATAGGTGAAGCTTAAAAAACCTTTACAGGTTACTAGTTTAAGAGGACCGGGCGCTAGAATTATTATCTGACATTTGCGGCAATACCTCACGTGTGTTGTGTGATCGCCATTGGTATCTGAGCCAATGTGCGTGTTCGCATTTGTGTGTGAGGACGGGGATGCTTCAAAATTCTTTTTGTTTTTTTATCATTTATTTTATTTAAAACACTTTTTAACCACTTGCCTACCGGGAACTTATACCCCCTTCCTTACCAGGCCAATTTTCAGCTTTCAGCGCTGCGCACTTTGATTGACAATTGCGCGGTCATGCAACATTGTACCCATATGAAATTTTGATCATTTTTTTCTCACAAATAGAGCTTTCTTTTGGTGGTATTTAATCGCCACTGGGCACTTTACTTTTTGCGCTATAAATAAAAAAATTGCAAAAAATTTGAAAAAAAAAAAAAGTTTATTTGTTTCTTTTATAAAATTTTTCAAACAGGTATTTTTTCTCCTTCACTGATGTGCGTTGATGAGGCAGCACTGATGGGCACTGATAGGCGGCACTGATGGGCACTGATAGGCAGCACTAAAGGGCACTGATAGGCAGTACTAATGAGGTGGCACTGATAGACAGCACTAATTAGGGTCACGGATAGGCGGCACTGATATGCAGCACTGATAGGCGGCACTGATAGGTGACACTGATTATGGGTACTGATAGACGGCACTGACTGGCATCACTGCTGGGCACTGACTGGCACAACCCCTGGGCACTGACTGGTGGCACTGACTGGCAGCACTGCTGGGCTGCACTGGTGGGTGGCACTGGTGGGCAGCACTGGTGGGTGGGCACAGGTGGGTGGCACTGGTGGGCACAGGTGGGTGGCACTGGTGGGCACAGGTGGGTGGCACTGCTGGGCACATGTAGGTGGCACTTCTGGGCACAGGTAGGTGGCACTGCAGAGTGGCACAGCTGGGGGCACTGCTGGGCACAGGTGGGGGCACTGCTGGGCACAGGTGGGTGCACTGCTGGGCACGGGTGGGCGGAGCTAGTGGGCGCACTGCTGGGCGGAACTTGCGGGTGTCACTGCTGGGCACCGATCATTAGGGCACTGATCATCAGTGCCATGATGATCGGTGCCGATCCCCGCTCTGACAACTGCCGGTTCTCGGCAGTACTTTCCTCACGATCTGACAGCGTGAGGAAAGTGCAGCCGAGAACCGGCACTTGCATTTCCCTGTGATCAGCGTGTCATTGGACACCGCTGATCACGTGGTAAAAGGCCGCTGTGATTGGCCTTTTACCACATCACGTGATCAGCTGTGTCCGTAGGACACAGCGATCACGGAGATCGCCGGGTGCGCGCCCCCTGGGGCGCGCAGGAGAGCGCGTTCTGGGAGGACGTCATATGACGTCCACCCAGAACTGGCCGGCCGCAGTGCAGCCGTCATTCGGCTATCTGCGGTCGGCAGGTAGTTAAACACTTTTATGTAAAGAAAAAAATTCTATCATCTTTATTGCTATCACAAGGCATGAACAACATCCCTTGTGATAGCGTAAGCCATGACAGGTCCTCTTTGTGGAGAAATCTGGGGTCTATTAGACCCCAGACCTCTCGCATGGCCTCCAAAGCAACTGATCCGACACAGATCTTTTTTCTATCATCTTTATTGCTATCACAAGGCATGAACAACATCTCTTGTGATAGTGTGGGCCATGACAGGTCCTCTTTGTGGAGAAATCTGGGGTCACCTCTCGCATGGCCTCCAAAGCCACTGATCCGACACAGATATTTTTTCTATCATCTTTATTGCTATCACAAAGCATGAACAGCATCCTTTGTGATAGCGTGGGCCATGACAGGTCCTCTTTGTGGAGTAATCTGGGGTCTATTAGACCCCAGACCTCTTGCATGGCCTCCAAAGCCACTGATCCGACACAGATCTTTTTTCTATCATCTTTATTGCTATCACAAGGCATGAACAACATCTCTTGTGATAGTGTGGGCCATGACAGGTCCTCTTTGTGGAGAAATCTGGGGTCTATTAGACCCCAGACCTCTCACCTGGCCTCCAAAGCAACTGATCTGACACAGATGGGCTGCTTCACTGGTAAGTAACAGGCCAGTAAGCAAAGAACTGAAAGTAACAAAATCCTTGTTTCTGGTTTCTGATGTCACAGAAGAGGGACTGGAACTTCAATTTCTGCCACTCTTAGTGAATTCAGCGGAAGTTGTCACATCCTTACCAGGCTCCCTGATCGCTCTGTAGAGCCCAGTAAATGCAGCAGTGGGAGGGGGGGAGACCCCCTTCCACTGCCTGTAAAAGTGACCAAGAGGCTGCTTAGCCACTCTGATCACTTTTTCTTTGTAGGGAATCACCGACACAAAAAAATGATACCTCAATCATTGCTGCAGCAATAACCGAGATATCATTGCTCCCATCCAAGGACGTATATGTCTGTATGATGGAGAAGAAGCAGTTATATCCTGGTGCCTGTGCAGTTGTTGGCTGGGTTCACACATTCCCGACGCCCACTGCCTCGCCTTTAACTTGCTACAAAGTCATAGTTTAATCGCTGGGGGGAAAGAGACTGAGGACATTTTTCCTTCTGCCTGCAGCAGACCAATGACATCACCTCCTGCTTTTTTTAAATGATTTGTGAATTATTTCTGTTCATATATCTGTAAGGGGAGCTCTTGCCATAAAGCAAAATGTGTGTTCCACCAAATCCCCTGACACATCGTTTATTATCCATCTTCATTTATGAAGTAATTAGTTTCCCATTGTTTGAAGAGAAGGGAAAGCGCGGGGGGGGGGGGCTCCAGGGTCTGTTTAAAATTAGAACGGTTTGTAAAAACTGATTTTTGGATTATCAGGGGAGATACAGATCTTCCCATGTTTCCTGTGACGTTCTCCTCCTCTCAGAGGTCTTACTGAAAGAAAGCCAGTGAGTCAGCCTCAAATATGTCATTTATTAATCAAATTTATTCCATCCAGGCCATAGCTAATCCGATCAATGGCCTCATGTCCAACATGTGTTCTGTATTTCCAGCTGAAAAGTTATTAATAAAACCATAATGGGACAAGCTGCAGGCACATGTTAACCACTTAGATGCAGTTCCATGCCAGTGATACCTCTGATCTGTGACTTATTATTTACTGAGAAGTGCTTTTGATGGGGCGCATGCTCATTTGTCTGTATAATATGGATCTGTAAAAGAAATAGTTCCTTTTAAAGGAAAACAGTGTGCTATAAATGATGCATGTAGGGAAGGTAGGGCTCTCACACTCTTTTTAATTATAAGGGCTTCAATAGTAAAGTGTAACGTGAGTTTTAGTCCCTAATTTAAAAATTCCAGGTATTAAAAATAAAGCATTTGCTGCAATGCCCCATATGGAAGAAACATATATTTTAAAAATATTCTTCCTAAATATATTGCCTTATATTTGAAATGCTACAATTTTGGCCATATTCAATATATTTCAATAAGTGTGTGTGTGTGCGCTGAAGCTGTAATATAGTTACATAGTTAGTCTGGCTGAAAAAAGACAAAAGTTCATCCAGTTCAACCATTACAAAAACAAAATAAGTTATAATCCTACACCCACAGTTGATCCAGAGGAAGGAAAAAAAATCCAGCAAAGCACGATCCAATTTGCTCCTGCAGGGAAAAAATTTCCTTCCTGATCCCCCCGAGAGGCAATCTGATATTCCCTGGATTAACTTTACCTATAAATGTTATATCCAGTTATATTCTGTGTATCCAAGAAACAATCCAGGACTTTCCTACAGCAATCCACTGAGCTGGCCAGAACCAACTCTTGAGGGAGTCTATTCCACATTTTCACAGCTCTCACTGTGAAGAAACCTTTCCGTGTTTGGAGATTACATTTCTTTTCCTCCAGATGTAAAGAGTGCCCCCTTGTCCTCTGTGATGACCTCAGGGTGAATAACTCTACACCGAGTTCACTATATAAACCACTGATGATCATATCCCCCCTTATGTATTATACATGGAGATCATATCCCCCCCTTATGTATTATACATGGAGATCATATCCCCCCTTATGTATTATACATGGAGATCATATCCCCCCTTATGTATTATACATGGAGATCATATCCCCCTTATGTATTATACATGGATCATATCCCCCTTATGTATTATACATGGAGATCATATCCCCCCTTATGTATTATACATGGAGATCATATCCCCCCTTATGTATTATACATGGAGATCCCCCCCTTATGTATTATACATGGAGATCATATCCCCCCCTTATGTATTATACATGGAGATCATATCCCCCCTTATGTATTATACATGGAGATCATATCCCCCCTTATGTATTATACATGGAGATCATATCCCCCCCTTATGTATTATACATGGAGATCATATCCCCCTTATGTATTATACATGGAGATCATATCCCCCCTTATGTATTATACATGGAGATCATATCCCCCCTTATGTATTATACATGGACATCATACCCCCCTTATGATCATATCATATCCCCCCTTATGTATTATACATGGAGATCATATCCCCCTTATGTATTATACATGGAGATCATATCCCCCCTTATGTATTATACATGGAGATCATATCCCCCCTTATGTATTATACATGGAGATCATATCCCCCCTTATGTATTATACATGGAGATCATATCCCCCCTTATGTATTATACATGGAGATCATATCCCCCTTATGTATTATACATGGAGATCATATATCCCCCTTATGTATTATACATGGAGATCATATCCCCCTTATGTATTATACATGGTGATCATATCCCCCCTTATGTATTATACATGGAGATCATATCCCCCCTTATGTATTATACATGGAGATCATATCCCCCCTTATGTATTATACATGGAGATCATATCCCCCCTTATGTATTATACATGGAGATCATATCCCCCTTATGTATTATACATGGAGATCACATCCCCCCTTATGTATTATACATGGTGATCATATCCCCCCTTATGTATTATACATGGAGATCATATCCCCCCTTAATCTCCTCTTCTCAAGAGAGAATAAACTCAGTTCCTCTAATCTTTCCTCATAGCTGATCTCCTCCATGCCTCTTCTCAGTTTGGTTGCCCTTCTCTGTACTTTCTCCAGTTCCCCAATGTTCTTTTTGTGAATTGGTGCCCAAAACTGAACTGCATATTCCAGATGAGGTATACTAATGATTTGTAGCGGGGAAATGATATCTCTCTCTCTGGAGTCTATACCTCTTTTAATACAAGAGAGGATTTTGCTCGCTTTAGAAGCCGCAGCTTGGCATCGCATGCCATTATTAAGCTTGTGATCTACCAGAACCCCCAGATCCTTCTCCACCATTGATCCCCCCAGTTGTACTCCCCCCCCCCCCCCCCCCCCCCCGTATGTATGATGCATGCATATTCTTAGCCCCCAAGTGTAGAACCTTACATTTATCAACATTAAACCTCATTTGCCACATAGTTGCCCAATTACACAGAGCATTGAGGTCGGCTTGTAGGTTGGAGACATCCTGTAAGGACGTTATTCCACAGCACAGCTTGGTGTCATCTGCAAAGACTGAAATGGGATTTATAATCTCAGACCCTATATTGTTTATAAATATATTAAAAAGTAAGGGTCCCAACCCTGAACCTTGGGGTACACCACTGATGACTCTGACCATTCAGAGTATGAATCATTAACCACTACTCTCTGAATACCATCTTTCAGCCAGTTTTCTATCCATTTACATACAAATTTTTCCAAGCCTGTAGACTTTACCTTACACATTAGCCGGGTGTGGGGAACTGTGCCAAATGCTTTGCAAAATCCGATTATACCACGTCCACTGCCACTCCTCTGTCCAAGTATACCACGTCCACATCCACCCCTCCGTCCAAGTATACCACGTCCACCGCCACCCCTCTGTCCAAGTATACCACGTCTACCACCACCCCTTTGTCTAAGTATACCACGTCCACATCCACCCCTCCGTCCAAGTATACCACGTTCACCACCACCCCTCTGTCCAAGTATACCGCATCCACCGCCACCCCTGTGTCCAAGTATACCGCGTCCACCGCCACCCCTCTGTCCAATTATACCGCGTCCGTCGCCACCCCTCTGTCCAATTATACCGCGTCCACTGCCACCCCTCTGTCCAAGTATACCGCGTCCACCGCCACCCCTCTGTCCAAGTATACCACGTCCACCGCCACCCCTCTGTCCAAGTATTCACGTCCACCGCCACCCCTCTGTCCAAGTATGTCACGTCCACCGCCACCCCTCTGTCCAAGTATGTCACGTCCACCGCCACCCCTCTGTCCAAGTATGTCACGTCCACCGCCACCCCTCTGTCCAAGTATGTCACGTCCACCGCCACCCCTCTGTCCAAGTATGTCACGTCCACCGCCACCCCTCTGTCCAAGTATGTCACGTCCACCGCCACCCCTCTGTCCAAGTATGTCACGTCCACCGCCACCCCTCTGTCCAAGTATGTCACGTCCACCGCCACCCCTCTGTCCAAGTATGTCACGTCCACCGCCACCCCTCTGTCCAAGTATGTCACGTCCACCGCCACCCCTCTGTCCAAGTATGTCACGTCCACCACCACCCCTCTGTCCAAGTATGTCACTTCCACCACCACCCCTCTGTCCAAGTATGTCACGTCCACCGCCACCCCTCTGTCCAAGTATGCCACGTCTAATACCATTCCTCTGTCCAAGTATACCACGTCTAATACCATTCCTCTGTCCAAGTATACCACGTCTAATACCATTCCTCTGTCCAAGTATACCACGTCCACCACCCCCTTCTGTCCAAGATTTTGCTCACCTCATAAAAAGAAATCAGATTTGTTTGACAACTTCTGTCTTTCATAACAGAATATGAAAAAGGGTCAATAGAGATGAGGCTGCTATTAGGAGTCACCAGCTAATTGCTTGCCTAACGATGGGCAGCTTCCAGGTGTGGTACTACATAACTCCAGTCCATAACACATTGGAATGAGCACAGCTTCTGGGAGTCTGGCAATGGCAGACCTTGCTTGGGATCCTGATCTGTGTTGGGTAGGGCCATCATGCCAGGATCCTTTTGTCTTTCTGATATAAATTTATGCTTTCCCTTTTAAGGAAGAAAAAAGGCTGAGAGCATCGTACAACCACGCAGAGGAGAGCGAAAGAGAGAAGTTTTCCCTGTTTTCTGTCTCTGTCAGAGAGAGTCACGAGAAAGAAAGGACCAGAGCAGAACGGACTAAGAACTGGTCAATCATTGGATCAGTTCTAGGGGCGATCATCGGGGTGATGGGCTCTACATACATCAATCGTGTTAGACTGCAAGAACTAAAGACTCTGCTTTTAGAAGCTCAGAAAGGACCAATCAGTTTACAGGAAGCCATACAGGAGCACGCCTCGGTGCATCAGAACCAACAAAGGGACCTGGGTGAGCTCATTTTAGCGTTAAGAAATATGGTGCCGACTGTGCTGCCTCCGAGCCGAGAAATGCAAAGAGGAGGGCCAGCAGTTCCGGTAAACTCGTCTGGTTCAGCAGATCAGGCCTTAAAGGCCATTAAAGAACACATGACCTACAGTAAGGAAACAGGGAAACACTTAGAAAGTTTACAGCAGCAATACAGTAACCTAGAAAAAAGTATTAACAAAATAGCAACAGATGTGCAGAACGTCAACTCGAAGGTCTCGGCGCGGACTGCGGAGCTGCCTGTTACCGCTTACATTCCGAGGGATGGAAGTCAAGAAGCACCCCTGCAAAACGTCATTCTCGAGTTGACTGATGCGGAGCAGAGACTGGGAACAAAGATTAACAGGAATTCCGTATACAGCACTGCACTGACTTGTACTGCGGTCGCATTAACACTACCAGTAATGTATATCCTACTCAAAGGGAACTAAATGCTGACAAAATAAAGTCCGTCTAATCTGTTTTACAAATTACGCTTGTCTTTGTTTTTATAATGTAGTTTAAAAAGTAACTCCACTTTTGTTGAGAAAAAAAGCATTCCCCTCTGGGTGATATATAGCCTCTGGGTGATATATGGGATTTTAACAAACTTTGTTGCAGATTCCTATCTTTTGTGTTTTTGTTTTTTTAAGTAATAGCTGTTTGTATGTCTAAGTCCATGTGCAGAGTGAATCTGTATGGGAGTGATTTTATATTTATTAATCAGCTGCTGGACTTGCAGGGTTCTAATGAGGAAAGTGGCAGGGTCTGCATCCCTTTAGATGTGATTTCCCTTTAGGAGTATCTCACTAAAAATTAAATTTTTGTTGCAAATGATGCCCAAAATGTGACTTATCTTAGTGAAAATCAGTAAGCCAATCACACTAGCAGGAAATGACATTTCCCTAGTCATCTTCTAGGACAGCTTCACATGAGAGATAGGCTCCTCCTAGGAAACACCCGTTCCACCTCTTTTTCCTATAAGTAGCCTCTCTCCCTTGGGGACCCTCAGTACAGGAATATGACCGAAGGCCTAGGTGAAAGTATAAAGATGGCAGTAGAAACAATATATCACTAGTTCATTGCATGACGGAACAGCAGCATATAAGTACACAGTAATGAGGAGGGAGTTACGCTGTCCTAGAAGAGTCCTGGAAATACAGTTAACAGGTAAATAACTGCGTTTTCTGGGGCGCGTTCTGTACAACATCTGTGTACAGAACGCCTCCAGGCTGCTATTTTGCATTTTACAGAAAATTAGAGGAATGCAGATTGAAAAGTAAAGGTCACTATTAATAACATGCAATTACAATATGACTTGTGTCACAGTTGTATACGCTATATAATTTTTTTTTTTTTTTGCTATATTTTTTTCCCACCAAAGTGGAGTTACCCTGTAAAGCAGAGCGCTGAACTCCAGGCAAGGAGCTAAATGAATAGATAAAATACATCTATGGGAGCTGTTTTACCAATTGCAATATTAGTATTTTTGTCCATTCAGCGTCCCCAAGACTTCTGCAGAGCTTCCCCCATCCTCTTGAACTCTCTACCCCAATTTATCAGACTATCACCTACTCTTCTCACTTTTAGGCGATCTCTGAAAATGTATCTCTTCGAGGAGCCTATCCTCAGCTAATAATGGAATCTTTTACTCTTCCTACCAGTCCATCCCCCACAGTTACTACCTTTTGTACCACTAGCCCCTCCCTCTAAGATTGTAAGCTCCAAGGAGCAGGGCCCTCCTAACCCTCTTGTATTGAACTGTATTGTTGCTGTATTGTCTCCTGTTATATTGTAAAGCGCTGAGCAAACTGTTGGCGCTATATAAATCCTGTATAATAATAATAATAATAGATTAACACAGTCCACCTTACACAGCCAGGTGATTGGCACCACTTAAGCCTGGTACACACTATAAGATGTTTTTTTGTTCAACCCAGCGGTTTGAATGAAAAAAACCCTACAGATCGTTGTACTAACACAAGTTCTCCTGTGCTATTGCATTCTGATGGGGACAAACTCCCTCCAGGACACATGGATCAGCGCTCTCAGCCATTGGCTGCCAGCACTGATCGGATGCTGGTTTTTCAGCATGCCCATTCGAAAGACGCCGGTTGTGAGACCGGCTTCTGTCGGACAGGGAGCTGTATACGTGGGCCAATAGTTGGCTGGCTCCTTCCGAACTGACCGCTTGCAGCCAATTATCGGCCTGTGTTTACTCAACATTAGGCCCCTTGCACAGTGTGCACTCCAGCACTTTAGTTTGCCTGTCAGGCACATGTGCAACAGGCATTCCTTCCTAAACACAAAGGGCCTTAAAAACAAGTACTACTTGGTGCAGCGTTCAGCCCTGTCCAGCCGCCTCCTGCTATAGACTATGACAGGTGGAGGGTAATGGGGCTAGACCAGGGGTCTGCAACCTTTAAGACATAAAGAGCCACTTGGACCCGTTTCCGAGAGGGAAAAAAAAAGACTGGGAGCCGCAAAACCATTGCAACATTTAAAACAAATCCGACACTGAATATATTGCAAAAAGCGCTCTGGTCATGAAGGGGGTTTAAGGGCCCAGTAAGCAAAGGGTTAATCAGGGCCACAGTGTATCGTCATAATCACAATCATAGCCTTAGGTCAGTGGTGGGCAACCTTTTTTTTCAACTGAGCCAAATCTCGCCAAAACCACGATTGAAATTTATTTTGAGAGCCACATTTTTAAAACTGAAAAATCATCCCCCATATAGTAATTCATCCCCCATAGTAATTCATCCCCCATATAGTAATTCATCCCCCCATATAGTAATTCATCCCCCATATAGTAATTCATCCCCCCTATAGTAATTCATCCCCCATATTAAGTCCCCCCTGTGTCAATTCACTTACCTTTGCTCCGCGCGTTCCTCTCGCCGTGCTCCCGCGCCGTTCCGGTGTAGCATGACAATCTGTCTCCTATGAGGATCTGTCCCCCTCGACGTATCTGCGCATGTGCCAGTTTCAGGCATTAGCAGCCGATCGGCGATCTCCGGCACATGCGCAGATACGTCGAGGGGGACAGATCCTCATAGGAGACAGATTTTCATGCTACACCTGGTCTTCAGGGCGGACTGTGAGAGGAGCCTAGCTCCGCGGGCCGGATTAAAAGGTCCGCCGGGCCTTAGTTTGCCCATTGCTGCCCTATTGCCTGTCACCTGGTGGGCAGTGTGCTCCGGAGCCGCAGCCAAGGTGAAAAAGAGCCGCATGCGGCTCTGGAGCCGCGGGTTGCCGACACCCGGGCTAGACACTGCGCCTGCCCTCACCAGGAGGGAGCTTGATTCCTCCATGTGCAAGGGGCCTTACAGCTAAGGCATAACGGGGTGCACCACCATTGACTGGAGAAGCAGAAGACTTAGCAGGGCATCCCTCTGCTTACTCTGCATGCAAGAAACTTGATTAACTTCCATTCCTGCCCCTTCCTCTTCTAGGCTAAATGCTGCTGTATAGTGGATTGCTGAAGGGTGATATCAAACTAATTGTATTTGAGGCCTCATTCCCACAGGTGTACCTCTTTGTATACCTGTGCGAAGGGCCATCTATGCCTGCATGGGATGCACAGGTTGTTCTATGCATCCTCATGCATGCAGTCTTCTTTATGGCTATTGGGATGCAATGGCTGAACGGACACAGCCGTTGGTCCCAATTTGACAGCCATGCAGGTAAGGGTGCAAAAAAAGAACCACAGTGCCCAGGACCACCTTCCTACCACACTCTTTAAGTGAAATGCCGCTGTGCACAGGTATAGAGACCCACAAAATTATCAACTTAAAAAACAGCACAAAACACAAACTACCTCACCCCAATCACTATATGTGAACAATAAGTAACTTTATTCATTAAATAATATTAATAAAAAATTGCAATTTAGTATAAGTGTCACAAAAAAAATATATATTAAAACAAAAGGTCCAGTGACTGGGGGCGAAATGCGTTGACGTACTTCCGGCTGGCCGTCCCAACGTCCTGCGTCATTTCCGGTGAGTGGAACGCACGCGGAGCGGTGCGTTTCAAGTGGCCATTTTGCTCAGTGGAGGAGGTTTTCTTTGAGGTCTGTCATCCTGCTGTGTACAAGGCTGTGAGGTCTTGCTACAGGAATTGTGGAATTCGTTTTTATCTTCAATAAATGCTGGTTATTACCTTTTTAAAAAAAATTTTCTTCCTGGAATCCGGTGGAGTTGGCGAGGGGAGCAATTGGAGGAATATCCATATCTTTGAGGTGGCAATAGTTGGGGGTTACAAAGGGGGTCCAGGAGCCCTAATTAATCCTGAAAGGCGTTATACTCACCAAATATCTGGTGAGTGCGGTTCATGTTGGTTTTGCACTGGTGGATGGTGGAAGGATCACGATTGGCACTGAAGATTCTTAATGAAAATAAAAAAAATTTTGTGTGGGGCACTGGGCTTCTTTTTGTATGTGTCACTGGACTTTTTATTTTTGTATGTGTCACTGGACTTTTTATTTTTGTATGTGTCACTGGACTTTTTTGTTTTAAATATATATATTTTTTTGTAACACTTTATACTAAATTGCAATTTTTTTATTAATATTATTTAATGAATAAGTTACTTATCATTGTTCACATATAGTGATTGGGGTGAGGTAGTTTGTGTTTTGCGCTGTTTTGTAAGTTGATAATGCAGGTAAGGGTGCTTGTCCCTGAACACACACTGTCTGCATTCTGCAGCACGCACCTGTTCGACTGTCAAATTGGGGCCAGCGGTTACGTTTGTGCCCCCATTGTTGGTGTCGGTGGGAGGAGAAGTTTCCTATCGTTGGTGTCAGTGGGAGGAATAGTGTCATAAGGGCAAGCAAAGGGCCACATATGCAGTATGGAGACCCCTGTTTTATATGATAATGACATTGGTTATATTTTCTCCACAGTGTAGGGGAAGAGAAGAAATGCAGATATTTGTGGGTATGGGATCCCTTTATAATAGTAATTGAACACAAGTGGGATATTCTATGGGCACAGATTTGTCTATACAGTGGAACCTCAACTTACGAGTTTAATTCGTTCCGTGGTCGAGCTCGTAATTTAATATGCTCGCTCGTTAAATCAATTTTCCCCATAAGAAAAGAAATAATGGAAACGGCCGTAATCCATTCCAACCCTCAAAATGGCACCTCATATTTTTCATTTTTCTGTTATTTCATAAGGAAAAAAGCTTTTTACATAACAAATATTATATAAAAACAAAATAGAAGAAAAATATGAAGATATGATAAGGTTGTATACAATTTACTTACCTTGGAGATGATTTTTTTATTTTTTTAAATGTTTTCTTTTAGCTTAATTCTCATCACTCTCTTCACTTTCACTAGTTCTTGGCCTTTTTTGCCACACTTTGCTCACTTTGAGCTGAAGGCCTTTTCTTAAGAAACATGTCTAAGGAAGTCTGTTTCATTCTCCCTTTGAAAATGTTT